CAGCAGGAAACACTTTAAGTCCGCGTAACAAAGTGATAAGTGTAAAAGATTAATGACGTTTCCGTCAGTTTCTTTTATCTCGTCGTAAATTTTCGACGAATGGTACCATGATCGCTACTATGGTTAACAGATAGTGTTACACGGTATCGCGCTATTTATCTATTGTACTGTAGATATCTGTTTAAGTGCAGATAAAGGTGAATGCAGGCAGCACATTTAGAGACATTGAAACACGGTATTAACTCTTCGCTTATAATTCAACAAATCTTGAAAAATGACAGTGGAAATTGACGCTAATCCTACTATGACCGGTCAAATGATCGATATATCGGTATATAAGCCGTTCACTGCACAAATCGATTAACTCGCCTTTTTGAAAAATTTTAAATTTAAGTGTCAAAGCATTTGGTATAGTCGTAACTTTTTATATTTATAATAACTTTCCCTGATAATTAAGATTAACACCGTTAAACGACAAAAATTTGTTGGCCATTGAATAATAAATAATTTATTTCAGAGGTCACTTTGATTAACTCCGTACTCTAATGTAAATCGTTGCAATAATGCAACTCAAATGCACTAGCAAGCCATGAATGATAACGGTGAATTTTTTAGCGCCGTCTTATCAGAATTTAAGTAAAATTTAGTAAAATTTAAATTTATTACTTTTTCACTTGCCAAATCGATTAACTCTTCCAGTAACATAAAAATGGTAACATTACCAACGATTACCTTTTGGCTATTTTTTCTTATGAATTTTATATACCGTTAGACGAAAGTTAAATTTGCATTTATGCATTCTACGATATTTATTTCGATTTAAATTATAAAGGGAATTTTGAAAAACAATATACATTATTAAATTGCATTTCTTCACTTTTTGTTTTATGGAGTTAATCAATTTGTGCAATGAACGGCTCATATAAGAAACGATGGAAGAAATTTCGAAAAATTGATTACGCCTATGTCAAAAGAAAGATCGCAAAGACGAGTGACTTAAGTGACAAGGTTGAGTACGAAATTTTTAATTAAAAATTTGAGAAAGATTTTGCTCCCAAACTATCATAGTTCACTCATTATCATCTTCCAAAGAAGTAACCTTTAAAATACAAATAGTGGTAAAATTTTAATAGATATTAAACATTTTATATATTGCATAGTTCACTTTCATTTTCCAAAGCAGTAACCTTTAAAAAACAAATAAAATTATAATATAGAAAATATTATGTACAATGTTTAACTCAGATTGAACATAATGTTTAATTAAGAGCAGAAGCAAGATTCAGTAAATAAAATTCAAATAAAATTGAACAAACTCTGGATGAAACTCTAAATATTTCACAACTCTTATCCTCCCATCACCTTTCACAGAGTATTTTCAAAGAAGAAACAAATTGAATTTAAAAAATTTTGTATTACATAGCTCACTGTCACTTTCCAAAGCAGTAACTTTTAAAAAACAAATAAATTTATAATATATAAAATATTATGTATAATGTTTAATTCGGTATAAAGCAGAAGTAAAATACTAAAACATATTCGAAGAAAATTGCAGAAATTCTGGATGTCAAATTCTCTAAATAATGTTTAATAAAACGTTACGTGTCATTAATATGCTAATTAAGATAAATTTCTATCGTTAAATGAAACAGCGAATTCATCGATCCCTTTCGTTTGTTCGCCTTATCTCTCGAGGTATCTCGATTTTTCCATCATTTAATTACGTTCCATTCACTTTTATTTACGTAATTAACATTCCATCGTTATTGCGTTGATCAGCTCGTTTAACAAATATTTCTGACGAAAAGCAGCGCTGTACTCGAGTCGCCTTCATTGTCCTAATTCGCGAGAGCCCATTACGAGCTCGTGTATCGAGAAATCGGTTAAACTTTTATTAAAACAGTTTCTCGTCTGCCGCGGAAATCGATTCACGGAATTTTCATTGTCTTACACCAAAAATTCCATTGGATCTTCGTTCAACCTCTGTGATACCCAATAGAGCACAGAGGTACCCCAGACGTCGCAAATATAATTATTTCTATCGACTGTCAGCAGTAAATTTATATTTAATCGTGATATAATATATACATACATTAAATGATTAATCAACAAATGTTGATGTTTCAAACGCAAAACTTGCGAAATAAAAGGTATATAATTCAGTAATTATTACGTGATAATAAATTATTAAGTAGTAATAAATTATTTTCTCATTCACCTTGTACTTGTGGTTGGATATGCAAACTTCTTTTATAAATTTAAATAAACATTGTCCATGTTTCTTTTTAAATTTTCCAATTATTATTTAAAATTAAATTCTTTATTTTTTATTATTCTTATCTTTAAATATTTATTATATATACTTACCTTTGTCTATTTTATTTGTATTTTCTTTTAAAAATAATTGAGTGGAACAGTCTTACGAAAATTTAATTTTAAATAATAATTGGAGAATTTAAAAAGGAACATGAACAATGTTTATTTAAATTCATGAAAGAAATTTGCATATCCAAGCACAAGGTGAATGAGAAGGTAATTTATTACTACTTAATAATTTATTACCATATAATAATTACTGAATTATATATCTTTTATTTCGCAAGTTTTGTGTTTGAAAAATCAATGTTTGTTGTTTAATTATTTAGAGTGATTAATAGCGTGTTATTGGAAATGATTAAAATTTCATTTTTGTGTAATAGAAATATTTTATTTAATAAACAGCAGAGATTTTGTGAATAAAATATCGATATTAATATCGCGTGTAATGTAATTTAATTTAATTAAAATTGAATTTTCTCCGGGTTTTTCGTTCGAAAAATATAATCAATGAATTTCTAGTTTGGTTTAGATTTTTAATTCGATTATATGTCGATAACGAATTGATCTATTTGCATTGTCCTTGAAAGAGATAAGCAAGGTCTGGAAACGTTTAATTTTGGATTAATTTCGATCGTTATTACGTTGAATAACTATCCAGTTGAATAATTGACAAGTGTGATCATATATGGTTGTGTACAGAGCTCTCGGTTAATCCTGGGTTTACGAATACCGTATTATTTTCATGTATTTCGTACAGCTGATATTTTCAGATAGGTTTGTCGATGACTTAAATTTGAAATTTTAATTTAGGCGAGAAGGAACAGCAAATCTAATTAATATTTTGCAAGCAAATGGAATGTAAAAGTTTTACTAGTTGTTTTATTAATTATTTTGTACCACTTTTACTAGTTCGTGTAAAGATTGAATAAATAAGAGCTTATTTATATTTTTATCTAATTAAAAGTGCCTTTTTGTGTAATAATTTCTCGATTAAATCTCTTCCACTGCAATTTTTTCTTATGGATATATATAAAGATTTATATAAATTAAATTTTTCGTATAATTGCATAATTGCACAATGTACAATTCTTTTACTTCCACTCGAACCTCTTTCAAAGAAGAATCCAAAAATTCCTGGCTTATTAAAATAGCTCGGAACAAGAGTTGGAAAAATAAATAAAAATTAAATTAGCTTGATTAGATTTAACAAATTAATATTACAGTTATTGGTGTATAGTATGTAGCAAATATATCATACACAAATGATAGTGATTAAAGGTGAAGATAAATAGAGACATATACGATCATGTTTTGGTTTTTAGATAAAT